ATCATGATATATTATTGATAGTTGGAAAGGGGATGTATGCCTTTGAACTACTTCAAAAATTTAGACCAAAAAGTAACAGACTCAGTTTCTAAACAGAATGCAAAGTATTCTTGTGTGTTATAATAAGTGAAAAAAAATTTCAATGGACTTCACATCTATGATTTTTTTTTCCTCAGGGTAGAAGTAAAGCATTATAAATTACACTCCTGATAATTTAATTGCATATTGCCTATACTACACAAAGATCATCCCTATCGTTTTCTGTCACGGATCAGTGCAAATCGCGTCTTTCCATTGCAATTATTTTGTCCAGTGTTACAGTGGTTGCAGCAGCAAACCAAAATGTCTCCCCAAATCCTGAAAGCGTTCCCTCGCAGACCCGGCAGCCCCGAGGCGGCCCGGGCGCGGGCAGCGGGCGGCTCGTGGCCAGCGCGGCCCGGGAGCCGCGGGGAGCCGCGGGGAGCCGCGGGCCCGGCCCGGCCCGGCCCGGCCCGGCCCGGCACGGCCGCCCTGTGACGTCACGGCCGCGAAACCGGCCGCGGTTCTTCCTCCGCGCTCCGCTGCCGGGCTGCTCCGGGATGCCGCAAAGTCCGAGCCAGCAGAGCCGCTCCTATGGGGCTGGCGGGACCCATGGTGCGGGGCTGCTGGGATTTTCAGAGAAAATCCCAGACTGTTCCAGTGACTTGGAAAAGCATTTCTAGTGGATGACATAACTTGAATCATTACTCCATGTCCTGGGCATGTGCTTAGGCTACTCCTGTCTCTAAGTTTCACCTGGTTTCTGTGTTGTTCCCTAGTGACCCGCACGCAAGGACCAGTGCCCGGCCAGCACAGGGCGAAGGCAGCTGGAGAGATCCCCCGATCCGCACGGTTCTGCTGAGCTCACGGCGCTGCACGGCTGCACCATGAGCCGAACAGATCCTCCGTTAAAAATAAGCCAGGAACGCTGGAAGCACACCAACTCCTGCCGTTAGCAGATTGCCATTGTCCACTGTGCGTGCAGCAGAACCGCGAGCTTTGGTCCCTCCTGCACCGGGCTCCCGCCGCATTCCACAGCCCGCGCTCTGCGAGAAGGAACAGTCCCAAAGCCGAGAGACACTCACTGACGGGAAGCTTTTGTCGTATTTTGAATCTAAAACGCAACTGAAGTGGGAAACATCAGCCTCAGCGTTAGGCTCCCTCGCGTGAAAGCATTCCCAAAATCTGGAGAGGGCAAGGCTTCCCCGCAGCACCGAGGCTTCGTGGGGTTCCTTTCCTTCCTGCGAGGGACGTGCTGCTCCGTGCTGGCTGCACAGCAAAACCGAGCCCAGCCACCGACAAGAAAGGACTCAAAGATGAAGACCAGAAATACATGGTGGGTCTTTTTAATAGCATCCAAAAGTGATGCTAAAACAATACCTGACACATGAAAAAGAACAAAAGCCTGAATATTTTTCTTTCTCACCCTGAGCAAAACTTCGAATGCATTAATGAAAAATTATGACAGAGTGACTGTGGGTGTTTGCTATCTAGTCCCCTAAATAAAAGCCTCTTTTAGAGCCTTTATTTCCAAAACTTTAACAGGAATACAGATCTTTCTATAAATTATATGCATTGCTTAGATATTAAATATGTATCCTGGAACAGTTATTTTTCATAACGTATCTTTTTTTACTATCAGCAAGATCTAGGGCAAATGGCTGTATAACACTGGGCAGTGAGAGAAAAACAAACCGGAAAGGCACAATTAAAAAAAAAAAAAAANAAAAAAAAAAACCAAAACCCAAACCAAAACAAAACAAAAAAAAAAAAAAAATAGAAAATAAATGTAGCATTTAAAAAAAAAAAAAAATTGTAATAGAAAGCACTGTTAGGACTGATACACTAAGTGAATTCATTTAGGCAAAGAACCAAAATAAAACTACCATAAGCCTTCTATTTTTGAAAAAAGAAACCCAAAAAACCCAAAAAAACCCCTCAAAACCAAAACACATTAATTCTGAAGGTTTCAATTTCTGAGAAAGAAAACTTCTTAAAACAACAACAACAACAACAAAAACCCACCACACTGTAAGGTTCCAAAAGTGCAGCAATTTGGCAAAATTCTAATTAAAATCAAAGAGATTCTGCTTGACTGGGGCTTGTGAAAGCCAGCCTTCCCTGGTGCCACTATGCTGGGATTTTTTTTTCCTTAAAAACCTCGCCATCAAATGCACCTGACCCTCAAAATCCTAAATTTTAGCAAAATAAGCACTTTGCATTAACTCAAAATATCAGTATGTACTCATGCAAGTCGAATTCTTTCTTTAAAAAGAGACCAAAATACATGCTCAGCTTACCCCACTGACATACTGATGATATTTTTGTGATAAATTACATTTATCAGGCACCTCTGACTACTTCAAACTGGGCTTGGGCTACTAATCCACCTCCCCCAGGATTTGCTGTAACATTCCAAGCATAAGGGTAGCTTCCCACAGCCAACAATTTTCTTAAAAAAATAAAAAGAAAAAAGAAAAAGAAAAACTGTTTTCACCCTTCCCCCTAATGTGAAATACCCTCATCCAAGGATGGGCAGCAATTATTCCTGACCCAGGGAAAGGTGTAAGGTCTGATATCTGACCCATCAGAAGCTTGCTTTCATTAGAAAGATGAGACACCATTTTCCCAAAGATATATACACAGCACTTGATCATAGTCCTGGGAGTTCTGGAGAAATCTGACCTTTTAAATTACATTACTACGTACAGAAAAATCTATTTAAGGCAAATTTCAGGAACTGAGATATTTAATTAAACTTTATTCTTTTTTTTTTTTTTTAATTTTTCTCAGATATCTGTAAATAGGACTCAGGATAACAAAAAGCGTCTGGTATTACAGATCTCTGTCTTCCTCCGTACCGTTCCATTCCATCTCACTAGCCCAAGGCATTCTCACTGAGCGCACAAGCATTTCCCATGCCGGTGTTCCAGCCTCGGCTATGTCCTCTGGCTGGGGCTGCCTCTCACACTCGCTCATGGCTGCGCTCCCCGCAGTCTGATGGATAAAGCTGACCCTCCCTGCTGCACAGCCCAGGGCCACTTGCACGGACACACAGCTATTTTTATCCTCTAGCTACCAGAAACGAGTATTTCTGCGGCTCTGAAAGGGCACACAATCCGTGTCAGCACAGTTTCACATGTTTGCTCTTTTGGGCTAATAAAATCTCAGAGAAAACAAATTTTGATTTACCGTGTCTCCCCTCCCCTTCCCGCGAGCCGCTGCCGCTGTCAGTCCTCGGGGGCACACACAGCAGGGCACCATGTCATGTCACACTAGGTGCTGGGATTCAACAAAGGCCAACATGTTGATATCTTTTTATTGCTCGGCAGCCTGGTTACCCCATTTTCCCCCTCTACAATTGGACACTTTTGGTAATACGGGAAGTTCTGAAGCAGTAACAATTCTGTTTTCAGTCAGTAAAGTATTTTTGTTTTACAAAGCAATAGTCTCTGATCTTGCTTTTTAGGTCACTGAGTACAATTCTTTATTTTACAGAAACTAAAGTTGGGAACTTAGAGAGTACATTTATTTGCAATTAATGTAAATATTTACATTGCCAAATAATGCTTTTTTTAGGTAGCCTAAAGACTATTTGACATTCTTTACTAATTAATAAAAATATCTAAGGTGTTACTACCTACAGAAAAAAAAGTTTCACCGATCTACAACTACAGCTACCAGAGGGCGGTTTATTTTGTGTAGAAATGAAAGGCAAAGCCTGTGGACGGGGTCCCTAAGCCGGGCACGAGAAAACCCTAAAGGTGCCGCAGCCCCAGCCCCACAAGGGCAGGATGGCGGCAGCCCTCGGGCAAGCCTTGAGTTATTCCCATGCACAGTGCCCGGGCTGCGGAGGACTCTGGGAGCTAGCGAGGGCTGCAGCATGAAATAACATGTTTTGTTGTGATTCCTAAACAGGGGGACATTTATCTGGGCCATTTATACAAGAGTTATAACCCTCACAATATTTATACTCAGCATGTCATGTTAGCATTTACTACTCGTTTCCATGGAGATGGATTTTCATGCTGTAGCTATGAAATGCACATTGTTGCCACTAAGCCACTTCAGGCCTTTCTGGATGCCTGCTGAATGCCTGACAAAAGTTGATGCAAACCAATAGTTGTTGTTCTTTGTTTGTTGCCAGACTTCTAGCAGAGCCATATTATGTCCTAGTGATTGAAATGCCCATGTTCGCCCCCCTCCCGGCACAAAAAGGATCCTCAATTTAGGTGACAAGCATGAAGTGGGCTTCTGCAGGGGAGGGCGGCCCGGCTCGGGGCCGGGCTCCGTCCCTGCGCGGGGCCGCGGCGCGGCGGGGGCCGCTCCCGACAGCGCCTGACATTTGGGGATAAAGCCGGAATAAGAGAGAGCGCGGGCAACGGCGGGGCCGGGGCCGCGGCCGAGCCCAGCCCGGGCTTCTCCCGCCGCTGCGCCGCTCCCTCGGCCGGGCCCCGCCGCGCCCGACGGCCGCTCCAGCGGGCCGGCCCGCAGCAGCCGGGCAGGGGCATCGGCCGTTCTGCGGGCCGGGCGGCGCTGCGGCGGCCCCGGGCCCCTCGGAGCGACTCCGGGGCAGCGGGCGGCGGCGGGACGAGGCTCGGGGCGGGCGGGAGAGCGCCGCGGGACGGCTCTGAGCGCGGCGCTGCCTGCGCAGCCCAAACCGGGCCGGGCCGCCGCATCGCCGTCCCCTCCGACGGCACCGCACGGTACCGGAGCGCGGCGGGCCCGGGGCGGGAGGCAGCCCTGCCTGGGTCGGACGCCACGGCTCGGTGTCTTCGGTCCCATTCGTGCCCGCCGCGCAGCCCACGCCGGGGTCCCCGCTCGCCGTGGCCGCCAGCCGTGGCCGTGAGCCCGGTGCCGGGCTGCCCCGCTCTGCCGGGCACGGGGCGCGGCCCGATCGGGAACACGCCCAGAGTCCGCCGCGCGCCCCGGGCCGGGCCGGGCCGCCCCGGCGGGACCCCCGCCGCCCCCCGCGCCCTTACTGTTGGTAGTCCTGCTTGCAGTAGAGCTTGCGGTCCCGGAAGTAGCAGCTGGTGGTGAGCGCCTGCTGGCACGCGGCGCACTGGAGGCACTCCTCATGCCAGGAGGACTCGTTCACCCGCATCAGGAACCGGTCCGAGATGGGCCGCTGGCAGCCCTCGCAGACGGCCTGGTGCTGGCACTCCGACCCTGCAACGGCAGACGGCGGCGTCAGGCGCCGGCCCTGGCCCCGCTCCCAGCCCCGACACAACCCGGCCCCGCTCCCCAGTCCCCGTCCCGGGCAGCGCGGTCCGCCCGGCCCAGCCGGTCGGTAACACCGAGCTCGACGGCTGCCGCCGGTCCCGCGCGCCGCACATGCCGGCGAGACAGTCCCGCGCCCCGCACCGGTCAGGGACTGACCGGCAGCAGTCGGCATCAGACCGGCCGGGCCCCTCGGAGCGCAGCCCCGGGCGCCGAGCGGTGCGCGGGACCGCTTTCGGCGTAGTCAAGAAGCGGCCGGCAACTCACCCAGCAGCACTCCCAGCGTGGCCGGCCCCGAGCGCAGGGGGTGGTCTTCCATTTTAATGCCGTCCAGCATCTTGGCGCAGTCCGGTGGGCCCCGCGGGAAGCACCTCTCCAAGGACTCGGGACCCGTCGCGATGTCCATGAGCGGCGGCGAGAGGCGCTACCGGGCGGCGGGGCCAGCTCAGCCCCGCGTCGGGCCGGGCGCGGGGACACTCTGCGGCCGGGAGGAAGGAGTCGCTTTTATTTTTATCTGGAAGACATGAGGAGCGTTTCCTGCCCGGGCTTCCAGAGACGGGGGGCAGAGGCAGGAGCCGGCGCCGCCGCCCATGGGGCCGCCCCGCTACACGGGCGCGCACATGCCGCGCACACGGCGCCGGGCAGCCGCGGTGTCACCTGCTCGCCGGCAGCGCCGGACCCACGCCCTGCTTGGCGCGGAGGGCCCTCCCGGGGCGGGCCGTGCCGGGCGGAGCGCGGGCGCGGCGGGCCGGGCGGGGCAGGGGCTCCCGGCGCTCCCAGCCCCTGAGCCGTGCGGCGGCCCGAGGAGCCGCGCCGTTTAGAGCAGGGGCCGCGGCGGAGGAACACACCCCCCGGCGCCTCACCCCTCCTCAAACTTGCTGACATTTGAACTCCATTGGTGCGCGGCGTATCGCTGCGCCGCGGTGATCCGTCTCCTCGACGTCAAATAGTGCCCTGGCCCCGCCGGGCCCCTGCGGCCCCTCAAGCGCGGCGGCGCCCGGGGCGGCCGGCTCCGCGCACCCCGGGGCGGCGAGCGGCGCGGGCAGCGCGGGCCCCGGTCGCGCCCCCGCGGGCCGCGGAGGGAGAGAACGATCTTGGCTACCGAGGGTGGCGGATGAGCGGGGCCCCGGGCCCCGGCTGCTCCGCTCCCCGGTCCGAGCCCCGCGCTGCTCCCGGCCCGACGGCGGCTCTTGGCTCCTGCCCTGTCCGGGGTAGGTAGCAGCGCGCGTCCAGCGCCGGGCCGCGGGCAGGTGGCGGCAGGACCCTCCCTCGGGGCGCCCGGGACCGGCGGGGACGCGGGTCTGTCTCGCGGACGGCGGCGGCGCGACCGGCCCCGGCGGGCACGCGGGACGGGGCACCGGGGACGGGGCCGCGCACGCCCTGTACCGAAGGGCGGCTCCGAACCGTCACGCCGGGGCTGGCAGCGGGAGAGCTCAGGCGGAGCAGCGGCCCGAAGGCTGCGGTGCCTCTGTGGCGGCGGAGCCCGTGCCCGCTCCCGCAGCAGCGCTGTCCGCTCGGCTCGGTCGCTAACGCTCCTGAACGCGCGGGGCTCGGCGCGGGCGCGGCGCGGGCGTGTGCGGGACAGCCCGCGCTCACCGCGCCGGGATCCCCTCTGAGGCACAAACCGACGGAAAAGCGATCCTGCATGGAGCGTCGGACCCCGCGCTGCCGGCTCCCCTTTCGTAGCTTTTTTGTTTGTTCGTTTTTGTATTTTTGTTTGCCTTTTCCCCCCCGATACTGTTAAAAATCCAAATGTGAGGAAATGAAAATCCAGAAAAGATTATTTGCGGAGATTCTTAATGTGACCCATGATATGCCACGACCCTGTCAAAAGAAGGACTATATTTTGTAATGCTCCCAAAATATTGATACTTAATAAGCAGAAGGAGTGTTAACTTGAATTACTTAATGCCTCTATTTTGTGTGTCTTAAGATAAAACTTCTTTTTATGCCGTTTTCGCACGGAAAATATATTAGAAAGAAATTCGTCATTGTGTTTTAGTAAATTATTTTGGAAAAGGTTTTTAGTAATAGAGTCTATGTGTTTTTGTAATAGGCGGTAGAAATCGGGAAATCTGTCGTTAATGCTAAAAAAATAATATATGATTATTTAATTCTGAGATCAAGATAAAGGCTGTTAAGATTTCACAGTTCAATCAGTAGCGCAAAAGCTGCTCGTTCACATTAATTTTTTATGTCCCCTTCCTATTTTTGCGTGAGGATTCGGAGTTCTCCATCACACAGGGCTTCCATCAAATTATCTTCTACAACTGTGTGGAAAATTAAACCCCCTGTTTCCACAGGAGTTTTCATAAATTCTGGCTATAAAAGAACAAGAAAAAAAACCTTCTCAAAACCCAACGAAAAGGCAGCGCTGAGCAGCGGGACCGGGAAGCAGAGGGAAAGCCCCCAGCCCTGCACCCGCAGCAGTAATTCCAGCTTTGTTCGTGGGCTTTTACTCGCAAATATCACACTAAAGGTTTGTTGCTTCTCTCCTTGTGTGTATACGAGCACTGCGCCGGGTAATTGTTATCCCCGCTCCTGCCCCGAGAACAATTCGATGAGGTGTTATGTAGGTTTATACAATGCTTTTAACGAAAAACGAAATGCAATTAAAACACCCACGCGCAAAACCATCACAGAAATAAACCCTAACCAGACTAAGTAGCCCCACCTCCCCGCGGCTTCCTTCGAATTGTCCTTTTATTTGCAAGGCAAATCTCTTTGTTTTGAGTTAAATTTGAGAGTCGAACAAGAAACACAGCCGGTCCCAGTCCTTCCCAAACGAGGCAGGAGGAAGGAGCCATCGGGACAACAAACAACGGCCGAGCCCTCTGCACTGACCGCCCCGTCCCTGCAGCTGCCCCGCCGGTCCCGCCCGGTGCACGCGGGCACCCGGCGCCGGGGGAGCGCAGCCCGACCCCACTCGTGACCGGGGCAGAACCGCGCGGAACCCGGGAGGGCCACGGGCGTCTCCGTACGGGGGAATGGGGACGCCGGGCTTTCTCCGCAAAAGCGTGCGGTGCCGGCGGACGCTTGGGCGTCTGTGCAGTCTGTCCGTGCACATTCCCGGCTGCCCGGACGCGTATTTTCCCCAGTACCGACGGGCACCGCCCGCTCCCCTGCGGAGGTGGGCACGAGCAGCGCGGTGCCCGGCGCTCCGCAGGCTGCGGTTCGGTGCAGCCGTGCGGTCCAGCCGTGCGGTGCAGCCGTGCGGTGCAGCCGCCCCGGGGCAGGCGGCGCGGCCGGGCTGACCCCGCGGCCGGGCCCGGTGCCCGGCGCGGCCCGGGCGCAGCCTGCCCCCTGCCGGCGCGCGGCGGCACAGCAGGGGCTCGGCGGCGCGGGGTCAGCCGGGGCGAGCGGCGGGGCCGCGGCGAGCGGGGCTGACCGGCCCGGGATGTGCAGCGCGGAGACGGCGGCGCTTCCCACCCCCGGACGGGCCGGACAGGCCTCCAGCCTGGCGGTGCGCGGCCGCCGGCCCCAGCTCTGCGGCACCACGGCAGCGGGGCGTGGGGGGAGGCCCTGGGCAGCCGTGTGCCAGCGGCTCACTGTGTCCTGTTTTTCTCCATCCACAGCCGGACTCTGCGTCTCGCTCCCCTGCGGATCCCCAGCCTTCCCCTCTCGCCTGCGGCCGACGCCGGTGCACAGAAAAACGCCCGTGGCGGGAGCGTTCGGGGAGCTGGGGCGCGGAGACCGGCGGCCGCCCTTCGGGCGGTCTCGCTGCCGGTTGTCCACAGAGCTTCCCATAACGGAGCTCCCCAGACTGGCTCTGCAAGCCCGCAGCTCCGACAGAGCTCCCGGCGGCGGCGCCCGCCGCCCGGTGCTTCCACGTCGCCGGGCCTCTCCCCCGGCCGCCGACGTGCGGGCAGTCCCAGCAGGACCTGGCCAATTTGGCTCGGTAGCCCTAGCGGAACGGCCCCGGCCCGGGAGGAGCCGCCGCCGCCGCCAGTGCACGACGGTGACTGATCCAGCCCGCGCGCCCCTCTCGGAAGGATGGATGTGAACGAGCTACTAAGTGTAGTTACTAATAACAATAACAATAAATTATCGGACGGTTACTCAGTAATGCAAACAAATGTTCCGTGAACCACGCAGAGTCTCCCCGTGCCTCGCAGCAGCCCCAACGGGACCGGCCCGTCTGACGAGCGGCTGTTCCTCGGCCCAGGGACACGACCCTGCGCTCCCGGCAGTCTCACGGAGCAGGTGACAGGGCCAGTGATCAGGGACGGGGCCAACCAGGGTGGCCGATAGGGGAGGTGGTGCCGGCGCTATCGGGCAGAATGTGGTCGGAGGCCTCGCCGCGTGAAAAGCGGCCAGCACGGAGCCGGTATTTTAATTAAGCAGGACCTCTTTGATATAGGCCGCTTGATGCTATCTATCTCTGCTCTCTGTTCCCGTCACGACAGCATTTGGGTAGAAAAATTGCTGAGAGAGGCGGGTCAGGCAGGGCGTCGGTGCCGCGCCGAGGAGCCGGAAAGCCCCGGGGAGCGGCGGGTGCTCGCAGCGCTGAGTCCCAACCCCACCGCGGTGCGGTGCCGCCGTGTGCCTTTTCGGGGGGCCTGGAGGAACGGGAGCCAATTTACCATGATTAAAGGCACAGGCGAGGAGGCGCCACGCATTTGCATGCGCCTTCATCTTCCCTAAGTGGATTTTTGAGGGCAGCGCGGCAGACAAGCTCGGGCTCCGAATTCCCTCCGTCTGTGGAGCGCCCGTCCTGATGGACTCGTGGCTCGAGCCCCCCGCCCGCCCCAAGGAGCCGCAGGACCGGGCTCGGTCTAAGGCCCGGCGCGGTCGCCCTGCTCCGACACGGAGCAACTCGGCCACCCGGCCCCTCATGCGAGGACCGGCGGCTCCGCGCTGTGGCCGCGACTAACCCGGCGCCGGGCATGACCCGCAAGGGCTGCGCCCGAGGCGGAGGCTGTTCCTCAGCCTCATCAGGCCCCCGGCTCTCGCTGCCGCTCGCAGAGCTCTAACGCGGGCCGTGTTACTGGCTCAGCCCCGTCCCTCACCAGCCCTGAGCCGCAGCGACCGGCGGGCCGGGCAGGCGGCGGCGGCCCGGTGACAGCAGTGGCGGGCGCCGGGCTCGGGTCGGGTCGCACCGAGCTCAGGCGCTCTCTCCGGCCGCTCGCCGGGGGCAGGGACCCGATGGGGCGGGCGTGACGAGCCCGGCTGGCAGCAGCGTGTCGCGCACATGTGCCCCCGCGGCGACCGATGCCAGGTGCGAGGCTGGGGGCAGAGTTTACCGCCGGTCTCTGACGGCTCTGCGGGTTTCCCAGCCCAGGGGGTGTGGGAGGGGTCCTTTCCCAGTTCAGGGCAAATACCTTCGTTTCACTGGGAAATTCAACCTCTCCTTGGAGCTGGATCCATTATACGGGTTTAATATCCGCTCTTTTACAGCTCAGTGTTGTAAAAGGCAGCAGCCAGGTCTGTG